AGATTAAGGCTCTTGAGATGAAATTATCCTGGATGTAGAGTGGGCCCCAAATCCAATGAAAGATGTCCTTATAAAAGAAAGGAGCAGGGAACTTGGGACACAGAGGGAAGAAGGGAAGGCCCTGTGAAGACACAGGCAGAGATCAGACGATAATGGTGGAGTCGTAGGCAGCAGCCCACAGGTGATTGCGGGAAATCTGTTTTAATCCGGGTGCCTCTCCCCTTCTCATCCGAGGGCCTAACTCCCCTCTTTCCAGGTGAGAGCATGAGGGTGCCTTTCCTCGGATTAGAAGATAGGCTTTGTCCTACCTATACTGTCTTCACCCACAGGTCCCCCCACTTGCCTTCTGTTTTTAGATGGCCTTCCTGATCACTGTGTGAATGTTCTTCTAGAAAAATACTTGGGGGTGGCAGCTCAGTTGGAAAATGGCCCCAGGAAAGATGGTAGCTAAGCTGGTCAACCCAAGGAACAAGTGGATTGTTTAATGAGGTTTGCGCTTAAGGGAACAGCCTTCTTAGTGGGCGAGCTCCCTCGCCAGCCCTGCCCTCGGCCAAGTGCCCCCAGGGTCCAGCCACCTTACAGGGGTCTTGCACGAGGCCTTGGAATCCAGCAGGCAGAGCTAGAGCCGCCCTGGGCTTCCCCACTGCCTCCCAGCTTCTCGGGGCCCTGTCTGCTGTCAGGAGGGACTCGACCCTCTCAGAGACTGGGTCGCCTCTGCCCCCGAAGGCTGTGGACCAGTCCCCGGCAGCCACAGAGATGGCCATGCCCTCTATTGTCTCTTCAGTATGGCAAGAGAGAAAACTGTGACTGTGGATTCAGAGAAGCGGGGCCAGCCTCCTGGGTTCTGGAAGAAGGAAAATGGGGGATGGAGCTCTCGGTCGGCCAGTTCTGAGCTGGCGGGGCCTTGGGGGAATTGCTTCACCCTGTGGAACTAGAGAAAACCTCACGAGCTCTGCCCACGCCGGCTTCCTGGTTTCCCTGTGGTGCTGAGTTACGCAAGGTGTTTGTGCGGGGAAGGCGGACCTCCCTGTCCGTTTCTCGACAGGGAGAATGTAAATGCGCCATTATTCCAGGCAAGAAGGGTTTAAAAATGATTTTTTAATAAGAGAAACAGGTAGACCAACTCAGCATAAGGTTAGTGTAACCTGACTTTGGCAATTAGTAGGGGGAGGGGGAGGAACAAACGTGTTCTTTCCTTTCTAGAAACTTTTCCGGAAAGGCTTCCTGTAATTGGCCCTTCCCAGGAGAACAACAATAAGTATGTAATATCTCTCTGCTCTGAATGACCGTAGGTAGGACAATGCCACGATCAAGTTAAATATTTCACTCAAAACGTATTCAATACCTAACACGTGTACATATAGCGACGCAAATTAAAGGCTTATTCTCTTTGTTTTTTTTTTTTATTTCTAGGAGAGAGGGAGAGACGGCGTGAGCAGGGGAGGGTCAGAGAGAGAGGGAGTCACAGACTCTGAAACAGGCTCCAGGCTCTGAGCTGGCTGTCAGCACAGAGCCCGACGCGGGGCTCGAACCCACGAACCGCGAGATCATGACCTAAGCGAAAGTGGGACGCTTAACCGACTCAGCCACCCAGGCGCCCCAAGGCTTATTCTCTTTGATAAAGAAAAAGAATAAAAAACCACTCCCTCCGTCCTCCCTCCCCCCCAAGGACCCGAACGGGACTATCTAGGTCTGCAACCTCACTCTGCCATTTACTAGCTGGGTGACACTTGCTAAGTCACTTCATTTCTCTGTGTCTCTGTTTCCCTAATCTGTAAAATGGGTATTCGCAGTGTCTTCCTCGTAGCTCAGAAGAGCTGCTTGTTTTCTTTAAAGGGCTCACAGAGGCGCCAGGAACGCAGCACGTGGTCAGAGCTGGCTACTGTGTTAAGGTGCCCACCTATCAGGGCCTGGCTGTGCATGACCTTGGGCAAGTCACGTGGTGTTCCGGGATCTGCCATCCTCCTTTGTAAAGTGAGGTCTCTGGTGTGGACGCCTGGGAGACAGTCTGCCCGCCCCTCGTGCGTGCGTTTTCCCCAGACCCCTCCTGGTGCACCACCCCACCCCTACCCTCGGGGTTGGTTCTTTCTTTAGCCTTTCCTTGGCCTCAGTTGATGGGCCCAGAAATGGGTGCCTTCCCCAGGGAGCCAGAGGGGTGGGTGTGCCGGATGGAGTCTGGAGAGGCCCGGGCCACATCTCACAGCACGAGGCGACGGTCCCTCCGTCCAGAGAAGACAGAGAGACCTGGGGGAACTCCGTCCTGGTTCCCGCTGCCCCGAAGCCCAGGTGAGGCCCTGTCATCCCATCTGGGGCCATCAGCTCTCCCTTAGAGGCAGTAACAGTAACAAATAACAGCAGCGAGCACTTACGCACAGACTGCAAGCCACCATTGTTCTGAGAACCGCATATGTACTAACACTTTTACTACTCCCAACAGTATCAAGGGGTATCATTGCCCCCCTTTTACAGATGAGGAAACTGAGGCACAGTAAACGAACCGTGCAGAGCCATCACGTACCATTCTTCCGCACGCCTCAAAAAGAAAACACAAGTGAAATAGATGCAATAAAGTATTTCCTAGAAGCTCATCGCGGAGGGATCCAATTCTGCCAAATCACTTTTCCGCTCGGGGTTGCCAGGAGCCGTGTTTCTGCTGATGTGGTCCTCTGCAGCCGCAAGAGCGCTGGTGATGCAGGATTTCCCAGAAGGCCGTTCCTCTGTGCTCCTGGAAGTTTCCACCAGGCCTGCTTATGCTCATCTGCACATTTTGACATAGTCGTGTGTAGGCAATGACACCTGCTGTCTGGTGGCCCTGACTATGACACCTCCCAGCTTCAGGGACGCGAGGAAGTGGGGAAAAAAAGTGCGCATTGGATTCATTCACTAAAAGCAAGTGTGGTTAGTGCTCAGTAAGAATTTCTTGCCAGAATGGATGTGTGAATGAGTAAATGAATGAGTGCCAAGCGAGTGGGGAAGTTAGTGAATTACCCTGCAACGCGCCGGTGCAATTTACAGATGGACGAAGTGATATATATCAGAGTCGCGTTATTGGGGCTTCACCAGAGTTCTCAAGGGTGGGCAGCCGTGCCTCCCGGGGTCCAGGGTGTCCAGCAAATGATAAGGAGTTATAACCAGACCCGCTGATCACTCGCTATACATCGTCTCCCGTCTGCCTCTCCCGCGAGTCTGATTGGCACCCACTCTTACCGCACCCACCCCACAGAGGAAGAAACTGAGGCTCACAGCGCAAGTGCCTTGCCCAGGAAAGGAACCCAGGTGCCCAACCTCTACTTCTGGTGGGCAGCACCCCCCCCCCCACAGTGGGGGTGAGCTCAGCCCTGCCCCCAGAGCCCTCTGCAGGTCTGCACACCGTCAGTGTCCCCTTCTGGGCCTCCGTGGCTGGAGAGAGTGGCTGGAGGGGCCAGAACCGGCCAAACAGCTGGGGCTCTGGGCAACACAGGGCAGTGAGGAACCCCGGCCCCGGCACTTACTGGCTGTGACTTTGGGGGTCGCTTTCAGACCCCTGGTACTCTCGGTTTCCTTGTCTGGGGCAAACAGGGAGCGCCAGGCACACTCCATCTCTGCTGGCTGTACCTGTGAGCTTCCACCGTGTGTGGCCAGCAGGGAGTGGGCCGTCCCTCAGGCCCGTGGCCTCGGCCCTGAGGGTCTGGCTGTGCGCCAGACCCCACACACCAGTGAGCTTCAGCCGACCCTGGACCCTCCAGGACAGGACACTGGGGATCTCACGGGCGACCCAGGCTGCGGCCCCTGAAATCACATGCATAAATCCCACGAGGCGGCCCGTGTCTGGAAGGGACAGACGTGAACCTCACTCTCTCAAACGGAAGCCGGATGCGTCTCTTGTTGGACTTGGCCATTCTTGGATAAAGTGCTCTTTCTTTTCCGTCCCGTATGAAGGTCAACACCTCCCGCAGGCCGTGGGACAGACAATCACTTCCACGGCTTGTATGTGAACTGCTCGACTGTTTTTCCCCACGTGCCACACACAAAAACAGAACAAAAACAAAGGCCGTTCTCGAGCTCTCTGGAGGCACTGAGGCCCGCCCGTCACCTTGGCCACGTTGCCCTGGGCTCTGAGCGTGTCCCAGGAGGAAACGGACCTTGGGGGAGAAGGCGTGAGTGCGCGGTCGGGGAGGCACGCAGGGCAGGGAGAGGGGAGCTGCTCTGAAATACGGGGATGCAGTGCATCCCCACGCAAGCCCATTTTGGAGTTTGAAAGGTCAAGCCCTCCAAACGACCGATCGGCACCAGTCCCCACGGGCTGTTTTGAAAGGGAGGAGTTACTGGTACACGGAACCATTTCTCTGCGCACGTGTGCGCCCGTTTTGCCCGGCCTCTGTTGAGATTTGTGTGACACAGGCCCCCGGGGCTCTGCCCACAGCCCCTTGGGTCCCCACCCCTGGCAGGGCTGGGCCGCCCCTGGGAAGGCAGCCTTTAGACTCGTCACCGAGGGGCGCGGGGAGCCTTATAGAGTCCATACTCCCCATATGGTCTCAAGGGGGCTGCTTCCCAATGGGGGGGGTGACTCAGGGCCACCTGCACCGTTTGCAAAATGAACACGCGGACCCTTTGGTGCACCGTTGCTAAGAAGTTCATCAAGCCAAGCGTGGGCCCCTCTGAGCAACTACCCCCGGAGCCCACCCTGGAGGGTCTCACCAGCCACCCTCGGCGGGACCTAGTTCCTCACCTTGTCTGACTTCCTCCACCGCCCGCCCACCGTCCCTACCCTTCCGCTCAGGTCCCCCGGGAACTTTCCCAGCAATGCGCTTTCAATAAATCCCCCTCCCAGAGTCTGTCCCAGAGGGATCCGACCCAGACCCAGAGCAGGGCGCCCTGGCTGGATATTCCAGAAGCAGAGCTGAGCGGACACGTCAGCCCAGAATCCCCTCCCCCACCCATCCCCAGGGTTCAAGGGCTTCAGCGCCTGCTATTTAAGATCATGGGAGTGGGAGTGGTTAAAACTAGGAATCCTGAGCAGGTAAGTTCGTTTCTGTTTTGTAAGGAGCGATTTATTTCGAGAATATGTGCCATAACGTGCATGCCTCCCAGAGTCAAATCTGGAAGAATGTGTCGTAACACAGCCACGACCTCTGTCTTAGGAAGGGGCTTCGCACAGCTCTTCCGGGGGGCGCTCCGCGGGGCCCCCAGGTCTAGTGGGGCTGCCAGGTGTGCCGTGTTCCCAGGATGATAAAACGGGGACCCGGCGCCGGTGAGGGGCCCCCACAAAGTCACCCAGCCAGGCGGGTCACGCGTGGCCTCGGGAGCCGGGGGTCCTGACTCTAAGTATCTCTGGGGTCATGCTCTGTCGAGCTGGGCATGGCCTCTGGGGGTCGATTCATGTTTTGTCCAACTGTTCCCAAGGCTCAGCAGAAAGTGGAAGGATGTTCTCGCGCAGTGGCTGGAAGAGAAGCAGAGAAGGGATGAGAGCCGCCGCCGCCAGGGGCAGGGCAGAGGTCACGGTCTGTGTCACCCCCCCCCACAGCCCCACAGCCCCCAGAAGGACGCCAGTTTCCCTAAGACTGAATTCTGAACTTACTGGCAGTCTCTCTGAGTAGAAGCTCGTTTAGTTCAACACATCCCTCTCCATCATTCCCATTTTACAGATGAGGAAACTGAGGCAGGGCAAGTTGAAGGGATTTGCCTCAGGGCACTTGTGGTGGATCGAGGACTGGAGCCCAGTTCTGTCCGGCTGCTGCTCCCGGGCGCCGCCGCAAAGTGCCCCTCATGCCCTGGTCTACCCTGTCACCCTCCCTCCCACCTCTGTGCATCCCCACGGGAGGCACTGCCTGAGGTGGGTCAGATACACTCCAGGGACCATTCCTGTCACCAGCAGCCAATAGGCCTGTTGGCACCGATCCGCCAAGGGCTCAAGATCTTGCTGGAGGACTCGCGCCAGAATATTCTGGAATCTGAAACCTGATGTTTGCCTTTCAAGGACATTCTGGGGGAAACTGGCTGCTTCCAAGGGCTTTTGTTCACCGTGTGCAGACGGGTGGGGCTTTCTCGGGGTGGGAAGGGCGCGCGGGTGTCACTCGGCTCCTACCCTGGCGGCCCCGCCCCGACCTGGCTACTCTCCCTCACACCCCCGGCCGCTCCCTTCACGGCCGCTCCCTTCACAGCACGTGTCGCAGGCCGATTTCCTGGGGGTGGGGGGGGGTCGGAGCAGGGACCCCGGTTACCCACGGCCGGCCCCGGCTCAAGGCCTGGTGCAGCGCCGACAGCCCCGAATGGCCACCGAGGGACCGAGCGCCCAGCATGTGCCTGTCTCTGAGCTGTGGCACCTGGCCGTGCTGGGTGACTGAGGGAAGCACAGAGGGACGGGCTTCAGGGGGCAGCGGGGGACTGTCTGTTGTTCATGGAGGCGATGACACCAGGCACGGAAAGGAAGGCTGTCACCTAGTCTCGTCTTTGGATTTAGGGCCGGGTGGTATGGAAAGTTCCGGCTACACAGCCACTTCTCCTATACATCTACTATGACACCTTAAGGGGATTTTTAAATTCTAGCCCCAGGTAAAGCCCCCGTCCCCCTCCCAGCGGCCACCATGCGGAGTAAAGCTGCCGAGGACACCTGGCGCCCGGAGCCTCCCCCACTGCCCCCCCCCCCCCCCCCCGCTGACCTGCCCCACTGCCTCATCGGAAGCGCCTCAGGGTCCTTTTCCGGGCTCGGCCACGTTCTTGGAGTCGCCCTCTGCAAAGACAGCAGGGCCCCGTCAGGAGAGGTGCCTTCCGTGGCTCGCCAGCCCCTGCCAGGCCAAGTCCAGATGCCTGGCTCCCCCCCCAACGCGGTCACACAAGCCCGGCCTGCAGCCTCTCCCCTCTGCTCCCACGGCCTCGGCCACAGCACCCCCCCCACCCGTCTGGTCTGGCTCCGCCTCCATTTCCGGCCCCATCTTCCCCCGCCCTCCCTCTTGTTCACTCTACACCCCAGGCCGCCACGGCCAGGCTCCTTCCAACCTCAGAATTCTCACACTGGCTGTGCCTCTGCCCACTAGGTCTCCTTCTCTAGGCTGAGCTTAAATGTCCCCTCCCCAGGAAGCCTTCCTTGATATCCTAGTCTAAGGTACCCTTTTCATAGTGTCCTCTGTGTGACCTCAGTCACCCTGATCACTACTATTTCTAAATAACTACTTGGGTTTGTATTTATTTCCTGCTTGACATTAGCTGTCATGTTCACAAATGTAGCCCCAACCTCGAGGAGTAATGCTTGATAAATACGTGCTGTAAATTCTTAACAAAGAGGTGACGCATGGATGGAAGGATTGGTGGATGGATGGAAGGGTGGATGGGTGGATGGATGGATGGAAGGAAGGATGGATGGATGGAAGGAAGGAAGGATGGAAAGATGGACAGAAGAATAGATCAATGGATGGATGGGTGACCAGATGGATACATGGATAGAAGGAAGGAAGGAAAGAAGGGTGGATGGATGAAAGGATGAAAGGATGGAAAGATGGAAAGGTGGACAGAAGAATATTGGATAGATCGATGCATGGATGGAAGGAAGGAAGGGTGATGGATGAGTGGATGCATGGATGGATGGATGGACAGAAGAATGGAAGGAAGGAAGGAAGGAAGGATGGAAGGAAGGAAGGAAGAGTGGATAGATGGATGGATGCATGCATGCATAGAAGGATGGATGAAATAATGGATAGATGGAAGACTGGAAGACTGGATGGGCTGATCAGTGAAGGATCAGATACAAGAATACTGTCAGCCATATTTCCAATCCCCTGAATGAAAGGAGGAAGGACTGAAACCTACCCAGGCCCAAGTTGTAACATTTAACACAAAGCCACTTTTCTTCTATGAGCCCCTCGTTGGCTCCCACCTCCTCTGCTCCCCAGCGGACAACAGGGCTTCTGTGTTATTTCCCAATCCTAGTTCTCCATTTGTCCCCAGTGAGACATCCCTAAACCGCTGCCCAGTCCCCGGCTGCAGCCTAGAATGCCCTTGGCCGTGTCCCGTGTCCCCCGGAGGGCGGCTCAGGACGGAGGAGAGATTTTCACACCAGAAGCATCTTAGCATCCCACTACCTCACGCCCAGGGGCAGGTGGCGGCACACACGAGCCGCTGAGAATACGGGCATTTCCCTCCACAGCAGCCCCAGGCTGTAGCTCTCCGGGCAGTGGGGTTCTACTTCTCTTCCCCCAAGAAACCCTCACTGCCCCTGTCCAGTGCCCTCGGATGAGGAAGAGCACTTTCTTCTCCCACCTGGGTATTCCTTGTATAATCCGTGTCGTAGGAATCGCCCATCTGGAAAACAAGCGAGAGGGTGAAACTCCTTCCAGTGAGCTCCTGAGGCCAAAACTACTTCCCTAGGAACACAAAGGAATTATCCGTGTCTCCGCTTTCGTTCCCTCCCAGGTGTGCAAGGAGTTTCCAGACGCCGCTTCCGGGAGCAGACGTGAGAGTCTAACTCTCCGCTCCTCCCTCGCGTATTAGTGAGAACTGCAGAAATGTGAAGCAACGCCCGTCTTCTATTGGTATGTGTGTTGGAAAGTGCAGTGACTTTTTTTATTTACTTTTTAAATTTAATGTTTATATTTGAGAGAGAGAGACAGAGCACGAGCGGGGGAGGGGCAGAGAGAGAGGGAGACACAGAATCCGAAACAGGCTCCAGGCTCCGAGCTGTCAGCACAGAGCCTGACACGGGGCTCGAACTCACAAACTGCGAGATCATGACCTGAGCCGAAGTTGGACACTCAACCGGCTGAACCACCCAAGGCCCCAACTAGTGACTTTTAAAGGAAATGTTATGTTTAATGCGTAATGAGTTTATCAGCGTCGTTTTTAAGTGAATTAACACACAAATCTTTCGAATGCCTCGGCATTAGTTTCTAATGTGGCATCATCTGTGGTGACAAGGGAGAGCTCTACGGGGTCCCCAGTGTTTTTTGAGCGTAAGGCGGGTCCCGAGGCCAAAAAGTTTGGGAACCACTGTGTTAACAGGTCTACCGGAAGCAGAAGGCCAACATACTATTCAGCAAGGGCCATTACAAGATAGGCAGTTCACACGGGGATACATGGTGTTTTGAGTCTGGTCAAAGGAGACCTGAATGTCCGTAGCGCCCGTGACAAAGTAACTTGAGTAGCTATCTTCATTCCACTGCTTCGCTAATCCTCTCTGAGCCTCAGTTTCCTCACCTGGAAATGGGCATGAAATTGGCACCTCTTAAAATTATTGTGAGGGTTAAAACAAATGATTTCCTTTAAACCACAGATAGGCAAATAATAGGAGGAACCACACGAAACTGGCATTTTGGTACGTAAACAGTGGCTGAGGGGCTCCTGGGGGACTCAGTCAGTTGAGCATTAGATTCTTGATTTTGGTTCAGGTCACAATCCCAGGGTCGTGGGATTGAGCCCTGCCTCACTTGGGATTCTCTCTCCCTCTCTCTCTGGTCTTCCCTCCTCCTCTAAAATAAAATACTTTTTTAAATTATTTTTTTAATGTTTATATTTGGGAGAGAGAAAGATAGAGCATGAGCAGGGGAGGGGCAGAGAGAGAGGGAGATACAGAATCCGAAGCAGGTTCCAGGCTCTGAGCTGTCAGCACAGAGCCCGATGCGGGGCTCGAACTCACGAACCGTGAGATCATGACCTGAGTTGAAGACAGATGCTCAACTGGCCCAGCCACCCAGGCACCCCTAAAATAAAATAATTTTTAAAAGTGGTTGACTCGGGAACATCAGACGTCTCGAATCACTAAGGATTCCCACTGGTGATGGCCACTGACCCGCCGCCCCCCTCCGTCTTGTCACTGTGGGGAAACATTTGTGCCACAGAAGTCTGGCCCGGTCACACAGAAGTTTCTCTGGGCAACGCCGCCGTGGGTGAGCTCCCTCCTCCTCGGTGCGTCAGCATCCTCCGCAGAGCACATTTATGCGCTGGGAACTAGCATGCTGTTATAGGCCAATTATGGCTCCATTTTAAAGATCGCACCTTCATGGTCTCACGGTTTGTGGATTCGAGCCCCACGTCGGGCTCTGCGCTGACAGCTCAGAGCCTGGAGCGTGTTTCAGATTCTGTGTCTCCCTCTCTCTCTGACCCTCCCCTGCTCATGCTCTGTCTCTGTCTCAAAAACAAATACACATTAAAAAAAAAAATTAAAGATGGCACTTAGGCAATTGCTCCACTTTCTGTTTCCTTCTGTTTTGTGGCCATCCTAAAAAGCACCAGGGTGTTTAGGGTCCGTACGACATTTCTTACACAGGCCGGGAGCCCTGCGGAGCCGATCCTCACCCTCAGGCTGAGCGCTTATCAGCCACCAGGACAAAAACTGTTTTCGAAGCAAATGGCCAGGGTTTTTCCAGGGCGGCAGCTGTGAAGCATTCCTGTGCCTTCCTTCTCCTGGGCACAAGTGCCGGGAAGGCGAGGGAGGTATGTCTGGAGCCGGACACCCTCCGCACACCTTCCTGTCCTTTTGACAAACTGGATTCCCCAGGCTCAAGGCTGCACGATCCTCTCTCCTTCTTACGCTGCCTGGCAAGGTCGCTGTGCCAGAGGCAAGCCTGGGGGACAGAGGGCGCTCGGCCTCTGAGTGACCTCCAACCCGTCCCAGAGAAAGGCGCCGACTCCCCAGGCCCTGCTCTCCAAAGAGTCACATTTACTGCCTGTGCCGAAGTCCAAGTTCCTCTGAAGAAAGACATGAACCCCTTGGATGTCGGGGTCCAGGCTGATGGACGTAAAACCCAACAGCCAGTGGCTCGCCCTAGAAGCCGGCTCTCGGAGGAGACTGGCCTCGTAGGTGTGGGCAGGAGACGGCAGCTTACCCTCAGACAGCCCCCCAAAATAAATGGGTCGACTGATACGGAGAGACAGCTGGGGGGGGGGGGGACGGCTGGAATGGGAAGAGAGAGTTCGAGCAATTCTGACCATGATGGGTCATTGCGATGGAGGGTCCAAGGCACTATTTCCCTGAAGTCTAGAATTATTTCAAATATGTAGCTTAAAAAAAGATAAAACTTAAATAAAAGGCTGCTTTCTGGCCCCCACTCCTCCTGAGGCTCTTGCTCGAAGGGACATTGGTGGACATCAAGCCATTCCCAAGCTCCCGTGTAATTACCAACAATTATTGCTAACCCGCAGCCCCCGGCAAGGCTCAGAAGAATCTCATTTACATTTCTGTCTGGAAGGCTCCGATCACGATCATCGCTGGGGGAAGGGAGAACACCCACACAGGTGCACGCACCCCACACGGGCTCTGCAGCCCAAGGGCAGGCTCAGAACTCCCCCTCTGCTCCTTGTTAGCTGCGGACCGTGTAGACAAGTTCCTGACCTCAAGTTTTCCCTCCTCCCTGAGACAGACGACAGAGCACGGGGTAGCGGAAGCATTATCAGCCCATTTTACAGATACGGAAAATGAAGCCCCAACAGGCTAGGCCGTCTGGCTGGAGAATGCTCTCGTAGCCCCAAGCAGCAGGTGGAACGAAGGAGAAACCGCAAAGCTGCCTACTCGGTTTCAATCCTTTTAGGGAAAAAATTTTCAAAGCTCAGCAATCCAGGAACCAGGCCTCTCGGGAAAGTTCTAACATCTCCTAATCGCGGTATTTGCGGGGAGGAGGAAGCTAAGTGCAGAGCACGCAGCGCGTCCCTCTTGAAGCACTGCAGGGAAACACCTTCTCGAATCTGGCAGAGAAATGCTTTCGCGGACCGTGCGCCCTGCCGTGTTGCTCTGCCTCACTGCTGACCCAGGGGGCTCTCTCCAGCTCTCGGGGCTCCGAGATGCAGGGGCGGAGGCCGGGCCCACCGAGTCTGTGCTCTCGGAGTCCCAGGGAGCTCATCCGGGATAAGCCAGCCCACACCTGCCCGAAATTCCCGATTCTTTTGCCACACGTGTCTTCCAAGTCCTGTGGACCTTATGCCTCGCACGAGGCTCGGGGGTCCCTGCCCTGCGGTCCTGGCTCTTCCCTGATCGGTTTGCTCTTTCCTAGTCGCCTCCAGGGATAAAAATGACTGAAGTCACGCTGAATGGGCCTAGCAGGGACCACGGAAAGTCAAGGATTCTCAGACAATTTTAAAAGTAGGTATATAGACGGCTATAAAGTATCTGACGGTTACTGAGCACCTATTATTGCTTGGCTCTGCTCTGCAGGCTTTGCAGGTAGGACCTAAAGGAATTCCCGTGACGGCATGCAGTGGCCCCATTGTACAGATGAGAACATTGAGGTTCAGAGATTGGAAGCACCTGGTGCCAGCTAGGCGGTGGCAGGGCTCAGAGGCCTGTGTCAGAGGCAGGGAAGTTGGACGGGAGGAGCTCTTCGCCAGGCTTGGGGGGGCGCGGGCGGTTTTCTCTGGGGCAGGCCTCCCGCGAGGGTGCTACAGGGAGGAGGGGCCAGGGGCAGGGCCGGCGTGGGGGCCACACTCACCTGCCTGTCGGCGCTGCCTGACGCACTGCCCGCGGTTGGGGATGCCGGCGGCCACATCACCCGGGTTCAGGATGTGGCAGTCGTAGCCGGAGGGGCACAGGAGGGGCTCGGCCCCATCCTCCGTGGTGCTGCAGGCCTCAGCTGGGGGGGGGGGGGCACGGGTGGCGTGCTGGGTGCAGGCAGCGACTGTCTGCCCCCGACCCCAGGCTGCGCCCTGCGTCTCGCTCACAGAGGCACGTGTGTGCACACGCACATATGCACACGCGCACACACACACCCCAGCAGACAGTCCAAAGTCACGTGGTGTGCATCGTGACACACATACGCACACGTTCACCTACACGCTCACACTTCACACAAAAAGCCCTGACGCACGTGCATACACACACACACACGCACACGTGTGCACATGCACAAATCCAGTGCCTGGACACACGGATCCTGACACACGCATGCGTATGCTCACACCTACAGCCACATCTGTACACACGCGTCCATACACAAATCCAGATCCACACGCGTTTCCACCACCCGTGGCTCTTAACACACACACTCACACCTACGGTCACACGCACCTGCAGGCACACAGATGCACGGACATCCAGACACAGCGTGAGGGCAGCCACGCAGTGGCGCACCGCCTCCCGGACGCAGTCGCGCACATGCATGCGTGCAGAGTCACACGTGCAGCCGTGCACACACACGCGCGCACACACACGCCCACCCTCCGGTTCTCTGGACCCTGGGCCTGCCTGCCTGCTCCCCACCCGCCCGGAGAAGTCTTCATCACCAGGGAGCAGTGGACCCCTTATTATGATTTTAGGGATCGGAAAGCCACCTCCAACCCCCTCTCAAGTCTCCACCCAGAGAGAGGGCCACCATTCTTAGGGAAAATCAAGCCCTATACTGTCCTGTGGATTCGGAGCCCCTGGTCTAGCCCCAGCCACCACCCTTCCGTGTCGGGTGCGGAGGGCTGGGTATCTGGGGTCCTGGAGGGCGGGGTGCGGAGGGCTCGGTATCTGGGGTCCTGGAGGGCGGGGTGCGGAGGGCTCGGTATCTGGGGTCCTGGAGGGCAGGGTGCGGAGGGCTGGGTATCTGGGGTCCTGGAGGGCGGGGTGCGGAGGGCTGGGTATCTGGGTTCCTGGAGGGCGGGCAGCCTGCTGCAGCAGAGACAGCTGGGAAGGGGGGATCCCGACTCTGACGCTGGGCCGGGCTTCACCCTGTAGGCACCTTGCAACACCTCCTCGGGGCCATCCAGGAGCCAGCCGTTGCCACCAAGCCATCGAGGTTTGGGCTGCACCAGCCAGTCTAAAACTAACAAAGTGATACACGGTTAAACGGAGCCCCCTGCCCCAGGCAGCTGAGGAGCGCCCCAGCCTCTGGGGATGGGGGAGCCCACACCTCGTGATGAACCACAGAGGCTCCCGGCCGCACATTCGCCCCGTCCTTTCGGGAACAGCACTTTGAGGTTTGAGGAGGCCCTGGGGTCAAGCTGGAAACTACATTTCCCAGCCTTCCTTGCAGCAAGGTGCGGCCACATGACTGAGTTCTGGCCAACAGGACGTAGGCAGAGGCGATGACACCACTTTCTGTTCTTGCCCAGGCGTCCGGGCCTGTGTGCGCCCCTCCCTCCTCCCGCAGCCTGGGAGCCGCTTTGACCATGAAGAGCAAAAGATGGAAGGAGCCTGGGTCCCTGGATGGCTGGACTGGAGCCACCTACCTGCCGCGGACCACCCACGTCCTCTGGCCTATTAACCAAGGGGGCCCGAGTAAACAGGTTGGGCTCCTGGGTTCATGGGTCTTTTTGTCTCAGCAGCATAGCCGGCTCTGTGACCAATACATTTTTAATACAAAGGGCAGCCCCCGCTGTGGGCTGTAAAGTGTTCGAAATCCTAAAGCAGGGGCGGAGAGCCCACAGGCCTCCGGGGAGCAGGTGGGTAACAGAGGTAAGAAAAGCCGGCCAGGCAGGACCACGGCGGACTGGAGACAGTCCCTGCCGCGGTGGGTCAGCTGCTGGTCGTTATGACCCACAAACAGCTGGACCGCTCTGCCAGTGAAAGCTGCCCATTCACTGATTCCCTGATTCTTTTCATTTTCAGTGAGTGCTTTTCGGGTGCCTATGGACCGGTTTAGATGGCGGGCGTATGGCAGTGAATGAAGCAGACCAAACGCTGCCTTATGCGGCTGACCTTCGAGGGGGCACCGTCAACGAGTGGATAAAACACAATGTTCCAGACTGTGCTGTAGAGAAAACTTAAGCAGGGAGAGGAGGGTAAGGAATGGCTGGAGGGGTCTCGCCATTTACAGAGGGAAATCGTCCCTGAAAACGTGATCACCTCTGGACAAAGATCGGAAGGAGCTGTGTGGGGGTCCGGCGGAAGGACATTCCAGGCAGTGAGCGATTCCCTCCTCTGGGCCCAGATGCGGGAGTAGGGGGCCCCACATCCCTGCACTCGGGGCCTAAGGCAGTGGGCACTCCTCCGCAGTCAGAAGACTGGATTGGAACCCCAGCTTTGCCTGCTGTGTGGTCTTGGGCAAGCAACTCAGCTTCTCTGCGCTGCAGTGTCTTCCGCTGTAAAACAGGGCTGGTGACAGTCTCTACCTCATAGGGCTATGTGAGCATTAAATGAGATGATGTATGGAAAGGTGATCAGGAAGGTCATGAACGGTTGTACAGTTTGTGCACTGCTCAAAAGCACCTGGTGGAGGTGGCAAGCGAGGCTAGAAAACCTACACACTGCCACAGTCCAAAGGAAGGGGCATCTTCTTTGACTTACCCACCCAGAGGGAAGTACCTTCCTGTGCTGCTTCCACCAGGAGGGGCTGCCACATTGTCTGCTTTTTAAATACGGGGCCCGTGCAGGAGCTCTCCTGCCCTGAGCCCCTGGACATAGGCGGTGCTCAAACACAGGGTAGATTGTAATCACGAGCATAATTAAGGGTGCTGAGTCCCTTGTCATCGCGGTGACCTCACCCCAGAGAAAACAAAGTGTGGTCCTTCTTGCTTTGGCCTTGGGAGAAGGGGCTGGGCTGCCTGCTCTGTGGCCTTCAGCAATTGGGGCCCATGGGACCCCGACGCCTCTCCCTGGGGGGGGGCAGTCCACGCAGGCTGTTGTCACGGAAGGTCTCAGCCCCACGCAGAACTGAGAGGGAGGAGACCTTACTGCCCCCTCCTCCCCATGGAAGGGCACCTCTTCTCCGCCCTGGGGGCACACAGCTGCCTACCCCTCCTCAGTATCCCCACAGGCTCCGCCCTCCCCCCAAACCTGTCCAGAAAGGATCTAAAACTCCTTCCCTTCAAAGAGGAATGAGTTCCCAGGGCTCTTTCTGCCAAAGAAGGTGTCATTAAGGTTTAGCAAACACCTTAGGGATGATCTGCTCCCGGCCACCCCGGCCACCGTCCAGGGCCCTCCCTGAGCTTCGCTGCGGTCCTGTGTTACAGCTGGGGGGGCGGGGGTGTTCAAGGGGTGACCAGCCAGTGGGGGGGCCAGAATCCGGAGTGTGCCTTCCCCCTGCGTGTCTGGGGCACACACACGCCATCCGGACTGCCTGCCGAGGCCCCAGGTGTCCGTCTCCAGCCCCCCGGGGCCGGGATCAGGGGGTGAAGGTGAGTGCGTCTGGGGGGGTCCGGGCGAAGCTTGGCCCGCTGCCTTCTGGGGGCACCTGGTGGCGGCCCGGGGAATGCGGCCCAGTGTTTGTAAGAAAAGCCGACCTTTGGATTTTTTTTTTTTTTTTTTAAATGAGAAACCTCCCCATGGTCTTAGGAGGGGGCATCGTCCTCGGGACCCGCCTCTCCGGGGCCGTGCGCGCTGAGGGCAGTGGCCCGCACGCGCCCGGGTGCCTCCTCCGAGGGTCGCACGCAGGCGCCCCCCGCCCCCTCCCCCCGCCAGGGGCCCCCAGTCCCCGCCCGACTGCCCGCCCGGGCGCCTACCTGGCGGAGGTGGCACGGCCTCCAGGCAGGCGTAGGCGCAGCCGTTGTAGCAGCAGCGCCGGTGGCGCGGGCACTCGGAGTCGGCCTGGCAGCGCGCAGCCTGGCAGGCGCCGGGGGGCAGCGAGCGCGGCGGCGGCGGGCAGCGGTCCGCGCGGGGCTGCCGGGGGCCGCCCGCCTCCTCGGCCTGCGGGCGGGGGGGGGGGCGCGTCAGCGGCGGGACCGGCCGCGGGGCCCCGTCGCCGAGCCGCTGCGGGTTCGGATCTGCGCGCGCGCGTGTGCGTGTGTGCGTGCGTGCGTGTCTGCGTGCACACACGTGCACACACCTAGATCTGTCTCTCTCTCCCCGTGTGTTTAAGCAGAGCCCCGAGAACGGACAGACCGCACCGGGAACGGATAAACCCGCGCAACTGGGGTAAATCTCACGAACAGAATACTCGGTGCAAGAAAGGAAAAGGCCAGCTCCGAAGAGGACTCCGTGTGAGTCCACACACAGGCAGCGTGATGTCTGGTGTGAGAAGTCCCGCTGAGCCGTCACCTCGTGGGCGGGGAGCAGGAGGGGCCCTGGGGGCGGGGGGGCTTCTCTCTGGGGGCCCCTCCCAGTTCTGCTTCCTGATCTGGGTGCTGGTTACACGTGTGTTCAGTTTGTGAAGCTGGACACGCGATGTTCCCACTTTTCCCTATTATGTTTCAATAGAAAGTTAAAGAGAAGATACAGTACCTAACAGATAAGAAATATGGGCACATGACCAATCAAATGAGCATTTTAGAGGTGAGGTGGGGAGGCTTTGTCACAGCAGGCAACCCACACTGGGTCCCTTGGACACCAGCCCCCCTCCATGCTGGGAACAGGATCTGAAAGTGGGCTGTGTGGAGAGGTGTTACACACACACACACACACACACACACACACACAGAATATAGGTTCACTGGGGAAAAAATCACCGTGGCTTGCCCCACCTCCTGGCCCCTTCTGAAACTGCTCCCGCCATCTAAATTCCTATTTGCCTCCAGCCTCTGTTTCCCTACAAATGTATCCATATTTCAAAATCCCTCCCTCTTGCACAAGCAAATAATACTTGTCTGCACACTGAAATCTTGTGTGGCCATTAAACGTGCCTTTAACCTCCTGATGCGAGATTGCCGAGATATGGTGGCTGGGAAGAATATTAAGGTGCAGGACAGGGGCGCCTGGGGGCTCAGTCGGTTGAGCCTCCAACTTCGGCTCAGGTCATGATCTCACGGTTCGTGGGTTCGAGGCCTGTGTCGGGCTCTGCGCTGACAGCTCAGACCCTGGAGCCTGCTTCAGATGCTGTGTCTCCCTTGTTCCCTGCCCCTCCCCCACCTCTCAAAAATAAACATTAAAAAATTAAAGTAGAGAACAGTTTGTATGCGACACACCTATGTTTTAAAATACACATATGCACACTCATGTCTGCCCAGAACATTTTTGGAAGGACCCGGAAGACCCAAGAAACCGTTACCCTAGATTGCCTTTAGAGGGAAGAATTCAGCTCTGAAGCAGCCAGCGGGAATTTCTCTTCATTGTGTATTCGTTTGCCCTGCTTCAATATTATTTTTGCCAGGCACACAGTATTTTTTCAATTTAAAGAAGACCATCGAAAATGTTAAAAACAAGAGAAGTACTTATGAAGCATTTTCAATGAGAGGGAAAACACTTGATATGTTAGGGAAAATAAAGAGCAAGGAAAAAAAGGGTATAAGCCCTCTGACCTCATCGGAGTTAAAAAAAAAAAAAAAAAGTCAGGAAGGTCAAAAATGTGTCCACATCCTTGCCCCTCAACTCCCCCATGTTATTGCGGAGGCTGCAAGGTCCATGCGCTGCTCCCAGTGCCCTGTAGGGGGCGTCAGGTCACCGAGGCTAGGCCCGGACAGCAGGTGCATCTTGGAAATTGGAATTCCTTTTTTAATTTAAGCTGTTTTATTTATTTCTGAGAGAAAGAGAGAGAGAGAGACAGCGTGAGCAGGGGAGGGTCAGAGAGAGGGGGAGACACAGAATCAGAAGACAGGCTCCAAGCTCTGAGCTGTCAGCACAGAGCCCGATGTGGGGCTCGAACCCATGAACCGAGAGATCATGACCTGAGCCGAAGTCGGACGCTTAACCGACTGAGCCCCCCAGGCGCCCCTTGGAATTGCAATTCCAAGGACTGGCGGTGTTCACGCTAAGTCCCAGGGCACCTGCGGGGCTCAGAGGGAGGGCGAGAGGGAGAAGAAGGCAGTGACCAAGCGAGGCAGGCAGCCTGGGGAGGACGGGGCTCCTGGCGCCTCCCCGCTTCCCCCAGAGAAGCCCTCTTATCTCCTATATATACGTCCGCCATTCAATTTGTGAACGTAACAAGGAGCACAAAGCCAAGTTTGGTGTGTAAGGACACAAAGGCTCAGGGGACGGGTGGCCCTCCCCCAAAGCCTAGGGGAGCCCGGAGCGCGGATTTGCAAACGGGCTCAGCCTTTTCACCAGCCCCCGCTCAGGCCAGTCCCCGTAACTCCCGTATCGTCACCAATAACTCTCAAGCTGCGAGCAGGGGACACGACCCCACGCCATTAGCTCTTCGTTCACTTTCCTCGGAATGAACAAAATTGGACCCGTGTTGGGGCCCGGCCACTGTGATCCTAATGGACGGTGGCAGCCGGCGCGGCCTCCTTGGGAGGGCGGTGAGGGAGGTCAGGAGGCCGCGGGGAGGGGGTTCCGCCCGGCCCGTTCCGACTCAAGGCCTCATTTACGGGACTGAGCGGAGCCTGCGGGTCAGAAGTGAAACCCTGTCTCCTGCGCCCCCCCCCGCACCCCCCAGTCCAGTGAGTTCCTAACGGCCGCCCCGCGAGGGTGTGCAGAGAGACCAATTTTAGATGCGCCCCTGCTGACATTCAGACGTGGTCTCCCAGAATTTGGAGAGGACAAGAGATAAGCGCCTTAGAAGTCAAATCTCACGAGGTATTTGCGGTGCGGCCGGAACAACAGATGGTCGTAGGTGATAAAGAACTGATTTCACCGACGGGCCCAGATGAAGGGATTAAATGTTCTGGGAACTATTTCATGTCGTGCAAGGTGATGCTCAAAGAGGGTCCTGAAAAAGGATGAGTTTTAGGAGTTCTGGGAGAGAGCTGACTTTTATGGGAGAGATAAATACATCCCCCCATCCAGTGGGGCCCTGGCCCGTACAGGACAAAGGGGTAAAGGTCAGCCAGAGCTGGCTGGTGCCCGCCCCCAGCCCCTCCATCTCCCAGACGCACCCTTCCCTTGCTCTTTCCTGTTCGGCCCTTTGGCTTCTCTGAGATCCCTAGAGCAGTCCTACCCCTGGGCCTTTGCACAGGCTGTGTCTCCCAACTGAGATGCCAGCCTGCTCTGCGCTCACCTCCCTCAGGTCTCCACTAACAGGCGCCCTCCGCCTGCGCTGCCCCGGAAGGGGGGGCTCTCCCTGCTTTACCTAGCTCTCACCCCGCCCCCCCCCCATATGGGAACACCGTGCAGTCACCCACTCGTCCTCAGTTTATTGTTTTCCGCGTCCTGCAACGAACTCTCCTTCGGCGCCAGGATTTGCTCCCACCCGTGTCTCCGGCCCCGACGGCACACCTGCCGCAGAGCAGGCGCTCGGGACATTTTTTGTGGCGGCTGAAGGAAAGCTGTAAGGGTGACGCTGCTGAAGACGAGGCCCAGTGCTTGCTGGCGGGTCACCGCTCTCCGGGCGTCTAAGTGCTTATGTGTGGGACGGAGCCGTCTGCGTGCACGTTACCCCAGGTGTTTGAGCCGCGGCCCAGGGAGCCGTCCCTCGTCCCTCGTATCTGATTGACAGGCACCTCTTACGAAGCATCAGCTCCTGCTGCGGTCGCATGAGGCCAGCGTGGACCCACACCAAAGGGCCCTGAGGCCCGGGGAACGCAGGTGAGCCCGAGGCCCCAGGACTGGCTCCAAACTAATTCCTGAAGGTCTGCTCTGACGCCTCCCTCCTCCTCCCTCGACGGCTTCCGCACACCGGTCCCTCCGCTCAGAACGTTCCCCACGTGACGCCTGTGCTTCCTCTGGGGCAAGAACGTAGGACCGTGTCTGGTTTCCGAGTGTAGCAAGATGCATGGGGCGAAGGCCCGTGACCTCGTGAACGATCCAGGCTGAGTTCGGCAGGGATCGAACGCACTAGCCGAGTCTGGGCTTGAATTCTGTAGCTCTGTGATCGTACAGGAAAACCACCGGCTGATTTCGGCCTCTGTTTTCCTCATCTGCAAAATGGGCACGGGAGGCGCTTGTGGTGGGAGCGCACAGGGCCGTGCCCGTCTCCCAGGCACATCCCAGCCTGTGGGAATGATGCCTACGGCTCGGCGGCCTTAGAAGCCTCTCGGCCCCCAGCCAGGGACCCGCCAGCTCACGACAGCTTTGCTCTTCCGGCTCTCCAGGTCTCCCTTTCCTCCGGCCGGCTTCCTGCCCTCGGGCCCTCACTGGAGGGTTTGGGGATGCTGAGGAGACCCGAGAGCCTGTCCCTGCCCCGGGGAGTCTGGATCTAGCTGGGGACTGAAGACACACCCCCGGGGGACACTCAGACAACGACATGGGGTTCCGTGGAAGCAGCCACACCCAGCCCGCAGGATGCCCGGAGTGCTCACCCCAACCCCATACTGTTGCTGGCCCCATTGCACAGGTGAGGGAACTGAGGCACGGAGTCGCCACGCCAGGAGGCGCCAGGCTCAGAGCTGGGCAGTCTGATGATCTAGAGGAACAGGCGGCGTTTTCCGAGCTCCTACTGTGTGCCAGCACTGTGCGGGGACCTCACTTCCTAAATCTCATGGAAGCCGCAGCGTATCGCTCCAGGGCCCCCGCCGGGTGTCAGCCCACTTTACCGAGGAGGAAATGGAGGCACAGAAACATCACAGGCACTTGCCCAAGGTCACGCAGCTGGGGAGCGGCATTCGAACTCGGGCCTGAGTCCGGAGCGGCTTCCCAACCTTGCCCGTGAGGCTCCTCCTGCTTGGCCAGCTGCCTCCCCGCCCCCACCCCTGCGTGCCTGTGCTCCAGCGCCAGCTCAGGACACAGAGAACCCCCTCCCCCAGGTATATGCCTTCTGGAAAGAACCCTCCTGGGCTCCACTCTCTGCAACCCTAGTCAGCTGAGCCCTCCAGCGCCACTCGGCCGGACACAAAACCGAGGCAGGTCAAATCCCTCGGACAGATGAGGTGGCTCAC